ATATATTTCTTTTTAAACAAAACCTGGTGATGAACCAGCAGTAACAGCATGAAAATTAAAAGGCACATTCAGGCTAAAAATAATCAACAGAGTTTGCATGATGCTGTATTTTAAAAAAATAATTTATGCCCTGAATAACTGATTGGATGAGAAACAAATATTCTGGCAGATTCTAATCTCTCTGCAAGTAAATTTTGTAAAAGTTGTGCAATTCAAATTACATAACTATATTTTTAATATTGAATCATGTTTTGTATTTAGGTCTGTATAAGGCTTATAACCAAGTGCACGTTAAGAGGACTGACTACTCAAAACCTCTTGTCTTCTGAGTGCATAGAAATACAATGAGCAACAACGATATTCCTTGCAAGAAGATGGATACTTGTATATGTGCAAATCTTAATCAAGTACTGGAGCGTCTTTCAGGTCTTGGAACACATTTCATAATGGCAGCTCTCCACAGGGCAGGGGCAAGTAGAAGGCTCAGAGTAGTCACACTCAGAATAAGCAGATAGACCTGAAAATTGCAAATAAAAGCCATTACCTCTTAGTTACATGGTAAACTAAGAAGTGACTAGGAAGTCTGAGGAAACCAAACTCTTCTAGACAGTGTGTTCAGGAGACTTCACCTGTCTTCCTAACCAATTATGCATATTGCTACTAAAGCAAACAAGTGCATGCTCAAATTATCCATTTACCTGGTTTGAAGATACAATTACAAAAACAATGTTATGAGCTGATAGAAAAACAAATTATTTACACGTACAGTTAAGAGGTCAATTTTGAAAGCTCAGTGTTTGCTAACAGGTCAATGGCTAAATATTTTATTAAAACACAAAACCAAAACAACAATAAAACAACCCCAAACCACCACCACAACAACAAAATAATACCATATAAACCCCCCCCACCCAAACTATTCTGGTTTAGTGGCAAAGTTGAGTACTATTTTATACACTAAAAAAAAAGGCAAAAAAAATCCCTTTAAGTCATACCGCACATCATGTGAAAGAAAAATCTTAGCTACATAGTCTGAATGAGTCTTATAAAACACCAGAAAGTAGTTCTGAGGTCTCAGAAGAATGACTTTTGGAAATTTTAGAGCTATATAAACCTGCACATAGATAATCACGAGAGCTGCCACAGAAAAAAAGGAGAGCCTAAAGGCCTCCATGTGCAATGGGTGGGCCCCTAAACTGGTTCTGCGATCACATATGGGTATCTTGAAACTCTAGACAAACATACAGTATTTATAACTCCTAATTATATGCACAAATGAACATGAAAATGAATCACCTTTGCCTACAAGTGAACAGCATTGTGTAAGTTTTTCACACGTGCTTTATTTGGAATTGCTTTCAGCATTATATACAGCCCACTTGCTCACACAATGAGAAGCTCGGGGTGCCAGCACAGTATTTTTGTGAGCAGAGATTCAAAGAAAGCAGGCAGCACTAGAAAATGAGGTCAGTTGTATCTCTATAGCCATAATTTGGTTAATTTCACAAAGCAGGCTTCATCTTGAAGAAAATAACATTCTCACAGCTTCAATATGAAACTAAGTTTAAGGTTTCTTTCCTGGGGGATTTTTTCATGATGACTGAAAAAGCTGGTTGTTTCTTCTGCAGAGGATTTAAAATGAACAAGCTTTGCAGGTGAAGATTACAAGTTTGCTTATTTAAATGTTAAGGCAATTCCCACTTCACCATATCTGCTTTCTAGCTCTTACTTACCAATGTTTCCTTACTCAAATCCTATACTCTCAGTTACCTCTTTTCTATAGCTATACCAAGATTTTAAAAGCAAGGGCTTCTCAGTCTTAGTGATGCGGGTGCTATCTACAGCTCCCTACTCAGTTAATAAAGAAGTTGTGAGAGCAATTAAGGTAAAACATTTATAACCAAGCTATTTAAAAGTAAAACTTGCTATCTGATATTTTAAAGTACGGCATGAAACAAGTGAAAAACAGAACTAAGAACCCTGTCAGGGACATACACATCTCCATTTGTATGGGTTGATTCTATTTGTTAGCAGTTGAGAGATACCAGTGTACTGGTATTTCAAATACAATGTCATACAAAACCCCAAAAAGTTTTTCAGGTGCAAACCCCAAAGTTAATAACTATAGAACAGCTTACCTCCCGAGATATGATCCCCGCTCTACGTGCTCTGCTTCCCAGAACAAAAGAGAATTCACTGACTTGTGCCAGTCCTGCTGAGACAATCCACTTGATATACTGGCTGGTCTTTGGAAGAATCAGAGAAAGGACAAGCACTGCCAAGACAAACTTTAAAAGCGAGGTTTTTGGGGGGGTTACTGTAGGTTTATTTTTTTAATTATTTTTTTTTTTAAATTAAAAAGTGCAATAAGTAAAATAGTACAATCTTTGTAAGATACATAGCATCAAATACAATAATTCTGGACATAAACTAGTGGACTTCTAGTGTCTTCTGTATTAAGAAACAAATATGCATTGCACAGTAAAAATTAGTGTCTTGTTTACTATAATAAAAACATTTGATAGCTTTCTCACAAATCCCAACCTAGATAAATAATGTTTCTCCATGTGTAGCTTACTTTTAACATTAAATACAATCCTTTTCTTTTTTTTCTTTTTTAATACCCTAAGCATGTTGTATCAAACTGTATTTTCATCAGCAAGATTCTTCCAAATACAGATTTACTGTAAAGCTGTAATAGTGTGTGTTATATCAGATGTTCAGTTCTTGCACAGAATTTTTATTAGGGCATGCAGCACAAAGATTATTTGGACTATTCAAGATTAAAAAAAGAGAAAAAGAAAATACCTTCATTATGACCACAGACAATGTAAGGAATAGTAAGACTGTAAGTTCATATATAACAAATGTGGGGAAAACATGAAGTCCTAGGAGGAAAGAAAACAGTATTTCAAAGTTTAAGTCCAGTATCTTAGTATGATAATTTTCTGAGTTAATAACAGATTAAATTGCAAGACTGTATTCTCAAGAACAGTCCTAACATAGCTACCAATGCTACCTTAGTGATCACTAAAGCACTTCCTGCATTTATCCAAACATTATTCCTACAGAGGGGTTTAGCACAAACAATATTCCCAACTGCACATGACTGCACAAGCACTTTCGTTTATAAAGTTTTTTCTCTTCCACACCAGTCAACAATCCAGAATCTGAACTGAAACATGCCTCTAATAAAAAATACTGCCAGAAAACAACTCCATTTGTCTGTACAATGATTGTAACATACACTTTGCTCACTGTTTCAACATTTTTGTATGGCATGGTAATGAACTATCACTGTGGAAGGATTGTGATATTCAGCAGTTGCATAGACTCTAGAGCTACAACAGAAAATGTAACTGTTTGATCCCATGACCCTCACTTGCCAGCACTGAAAGTCACCTGAACTGGAAAAGTCACTTAGGACCGGAATCAGTAAAAGGCAAAAAACCCCTGTGCACAGCCTAACAATTAAGGAATTACATAAAACTCCATTGCTGTGATGTTGTTGGGGTTGGGTGGGGTGGGGGGGTGGGTGGTTATTGTTGTTGTGTTTTCATTTGTGGGTTTGTTGGGGTTTTTTTGGGGAGGAGGGTGGTTCTCTGCTGGTGGTTTAGTTGTTTGGGTTTTTTTTCTTTTTTTTTGGTCATTTTAATTCAGTGAATATAGAAACAAGAACCATAAAGCGCACAGAAATTGAAAACTAAGTCCTGCTAATATTAAAGATAAGAAAAAAGTATTTGTTGGAGAAGTCCTGGAAAAGTCTAACTCACAGGTGATTAAGTCCATGTTTTCCTCCTAGGGTATGAGGAACTTGTGCAGGCAAACATAACTCTGATTTTTGGAAGCTTATTCCTTTTTCATAAAAGCTCTTTAAAAAAGGAACCAAAATAATGGTGGCGTTCCTGGTAAATCCATAATAGTTGGCAGTTCTCCAACCCAGTTATTTCTGATGAAGGACAAGAATTTAGCTTTCTAAAGCATGAAACATGTAAATCGATTCTGTAGCTATTTTAATACAAGGCAAGCTTTCACTCATTTTCCCTGCCCCATAGTGCTGTAGAACCAGAACTAGAGAGCTGAGAGTCATCGTCCCTTCTTGAGTGCTCAAGAGAAGTTACTTCCAGTAAATTCACAGTGTATTGTGGATGGAAATGTATGTCAAGTACATCAGAAATTTTTATACAAGTAGCACCCAGTCAGCATGTATACACCCTGGCTTATTTCTTCTTTTCTTTCCAACTCCTGGAGTGCAAACGCAAAAGACTATCAGAATAAGGAAAGAGACAGCAGAATAAGAGAGAGAAACACCACACACACACACAAAAAAAATCATCCTAATATGTGCACACATGCTCATGGAGGGGAAATTAGTTTTTCTTTTTTTTTAGTATGCACATTGTTCATTCACCTTTAAGCTGGTCTCAGAAACACACATGAAAAGCAACTAGACAAATACAGCCTGTAACAATGTCACGTTTGATAAGAGGGCCAACTCTGCTGCATCTGGAATTAACGATTTTAGAAGGAGGCTGTAAATATAGCCCAGTGTTCTCATCGCTACTGGTGGAGCTACCTTTTCAGTTCTGCAGCAGACAAGCACTGTGAAGTCCATTTGAACTGCTGCCTGATGTGGAAATTATCACCGTATTTCAAAGAGCTGAAGCACAAATTACCACAGATTTCTATACCAATCCAGCGGAGGTGTCTGCAAGGTGAAGCAAGCCTAAGCCTGCTATATACACTATTCTGAGCAAACAAGTAAACATCCCAGAACACAGACACGTTTGGGGGGAATAAATCCCACCATAGTGGATTTCATGGTTATTATAGACTTTTGCCCCAGTCCCAGATGAAAACTTAGCATAAGGCCAGAAGTCGTATCAGACTGCTTGCTACAGAGGCACATGAAGCCTTCTTGACATTAATGTCGTAAGAAAGGTTTACCTTCATGGACAGAAGATGCATGAATATGGGCATTTATTTGAATGGGTTGAATCATACTTTGTGACAAAGCTCAAGAATCACTGTGGACTTTTTCACCAAAATGGAAGAAACACTTCAACCAAATAATTCAGGAACTTCAGCATCAACATCAGGAAGCATGTGGCATGATGGCCTGTCACCAATAGCTTGGATATCATTTAACTACATTTCTACAGAGCTGAGCCTACTGATTCAAAGTGGCTGAAGCTACTGGACTTCACTTCTAAGCAGTGTTCTTGAGTAACTGGAACGGAGGCCTTGCGGTAAAGATAACTTACACCAGTGTCGAGCCAAAAAGCACAATTCACTTGTGTAAAGTTGGTATGTGTTCCTCTTGAGGACAATTACAGGCAAGATTTCACACATTTTTATAAGTACTTTCTTCTTAACAAGTAAACTCTCTCCGACCCTCCAATTAGACAGATTCCACCAATCTGCTGGATAACTGCTAAACAGCACGCAGAGATCCAAATGTTATGACGAGTGTCAAGAAAAGGAATCTTGGAGACCTTGTTGGCAAACAAGATTACAGAAAACAGAACTCTGTTGGTCAAATTGGAGCTAGTAGAATTAATCGTGACACATCTAGTTGAAGATGTCCCTGCTCATGACAGAGGGATTGGACTAAATGACCTTTGAGGGTCCCTTCCAACCCAAACTATTCTATGAGTCTACGATCTTCAAGACATCACTCAGAAAAATGACGCTAGCGATGCACTGGGATGCTATAGCTACCGAGCTTTAATGAACCTATGACCATAGCTAGCAAACGCAATAAATGCTACAGCTCTGGCTAGCTCATTAAGTAGCAAAGGGAAAACCCAACATTCATCTCTTTCTGCAATGAATTCTACTGTCAGCCTTGAGAACTTCAAACCTCCAAGTTTCATCGTGCTCCATGCAGGACAACAAAGCATTAGAGCTGGACTGATAAGAGGAAACTATGTATGTCACCTAATGATTTCCAACTAGGATCTTCCTTTGATTTCTCTCAAATTCAACAGAAATGTTAAGAGGCTTATCAGAGAAACATTGTGTGCATGTTTGTTCTGGACAGTGGTAGTGCTGACACTGTCAGCATCACCCCACTTCTGAAGAAAATGACTGCACCATTAAAGGGTTTTCAGCATGTTGCATTCAAGGTCCAACGCTGACCATGAGATTTACCCAGAAGGGAAACCTGGAGCCTGGCAAGTGAGTACATCTGTACAGCATATTGAGAACACTCAGCTTTGTCAGTCACTGGAACTAATCTGCCTCCTCACCAGTGGCAGATAGGGTCCTTTATAAAAACCAATCAAAACAAAATGATGCAGAGGTGGAAATGACCTGAGTACTAGGTACCAAAACAGAAACAAGAAAGAAATGTCTCAAATTCTAAAGTCTATAGGGTCAGTCCAGATGTTCTCTCAGAAATATTAGTAAGGACAGAGACCAACAGAAACTTTCTAACCTCAGTAGATTGCATAAAGAGAGCCAGAAACCTTGAAGAACGCACACAGGCCTAAAGGAATGTACAGATGAAGAGCAATTCCACATGCAGCTGTTAATGCCTAACTGCAAAGGTGTGTTATTCCCACAAATGCACAAATTTGAGAGTAGTAGGTAAGCAGGTCACGCTAAGGACAGGACCACTGTTACAGATACTACACAAACAAGTACTGTTCAGCTCAGGTTTTAGGTAGGATTTCTGTAGTAAGGAGGATTTCTGGAGGATTTCTGAAGGATTTCTGTAGTAAGAATGCATAAGTAGGCATTTAAGACAAGCAACATAGGAACTAACTTTTCCAAATGACATATTTACAGTCATTTTTCATTAAGACTTTTTTCCTATTTATTCCTTTATTATAAAAGGAGTGGAAATTATAGCACTGCAGTGGTGTAGCACCCCACCTCAGGATCTCAAGTGTTTCTGCTCTCTAGAATAAGGTGCTTCCTGCATATAGCAACAAGCATTCTCCTTACACTGGGGGAAAAGAAAATCTTTCTCTATGGCTTTACATGATTTCACATAGTAAATCTATGTATTTATAGATACATATAATTTGCATGTGTACATATAAAAGTGAAGAGCAAGCCTTTTTGTATGCGACTGCTTTTAAAAAAGTTTAAGGAATACTTTTTAGCCTACTCAGGTTTTCTTTCCAACATCTCATCGCTCCTTTTTAAAGCTGACCTCCTTGTCAACCCCCAGAACTTTCTGTTAACCACAAAATTTGAACAGTGACTGAAAGTAAAGGTGGGAAGGGTGGGATAAAGTTTATTGGGAGGGAGGGGTTTTTTACTTGCCTTATTTTTTTAGGGTTTGGTTTTGTTTTTTACAAGCAAGCGTTGTCACATTTTGTTAGAGCTCATAGCTCTGATTTTTTAGCTAACTTTCTTTAGAGGCAGGAAAAGCACCCATTTTCTGTAAATCCATACAAACTTCTTAGGCAATTTTCTTTTTTTTTTCCCCTTCTTGCAATTATAATGGTAGCAACAGTTTATAAAAGATTATTTTTTTTTAATTCTATAACAGAACTAATAAAATTATTTCCTTACAGTATAATCTGGGCTATGTGGCTTGCTGCCAGTATGCCAACTGAGGTCTGGCCATTTCCCTGTACTCTATCAAAGTCTTATCTCTAGCCTTAATTTACGCAGCTGCAAGAGTATAGGTCAGTATTTTTGGTCAGTCCTTTGTAAAATTAACTTTGCGCTTATAACTGTCATGTTTTGTATCCCTGATAACACTATCCACTCCATCACCAACTTTGGGGTAACACAAACAACTTGCCTGTGAGTATTTAGCAGTTACTCATCCAACACTGTCAGTTATAATGGCCCAAGAGTTTTACTGTATCTCACCACTTTCCTCCCTTTATTAAAAGGGTAAATTATCCAAATAAACGTATCTTTTACTAAGCAATCTGACTGATCAGACAGGCTATTATCATGGGCCTAAACCAAAAAAAATCATGACTGGCAAGCATAACTATTTCCTTTTTATTTTGACAACCACCAGAAGCAGTTTTGCTTTCTGCTATGAAACAATGGGTTTCAAACAGTAATATAAGAAAAGGCATTAAAATCCTGCTAATGATGGGACTTTACTATAAATATATGGAGATAAAAAGAACAACAGAAAATTTCCAATAAAATCAGGAGAAAAAACGAGGTTGCTCTTGAAAGAAAACAAAACAACACCTCACTCCCCCCCGCCCCCAAAAGAAAAAAAAAACAACCTAAAAATTTCTGAGTAAGCACAGGTCAAAGGAGGTTGGGTTTGCGCAATGAGCCGCATTCAAACCCCCTATTTTAAACCTTGCAATGCTCCCCAAAGTAGGACATGCATCTCCTATATAATCCACAGGGAAAGGCAAGTGCTTTCACAGGCCTGTCTCCTCATTGACTCCACCTATAAGGTACTTTGGTAACCTATTTCAGTTTCCTTTAGAGAAAGCATATTGAGGCATGCATGGACGGCTAGAGAATGTAGCAGCTCAAGAATTCAAAATGAAGCTACTGACTTTACTGACTAGTAAATACTAGTTAACTTGGTTTGGATAATAAGCATCATGAGTTGCTCTCCTGGTCTTGGGCATCAATGCTGCATTTCAGTTGGTATTCAGGTAGTTTCTGTGATACATCTTGTTCAATTATTTTTTTCCCTGCATTGGGAACTCACAGATCACATTTTCCCAAATAGATAAAAAAGATGCCACTAAAAAAGGACATGTTTCCATTATCATATCCTGCTTCTAGAGAAAACCAAGCCACAAAGAACCTGAAATCTTCTCCAAACCTCAACATAGTAATACAATTTCCTGCTGTGAAGACATAATAATATTAACAGGCAGTATAAAAGAAATAAAACCTAAACAACAAAAAACACCACCCAAACAAAAACCTTTTCCCCTTAGAAGTTTTAGGTATATGTTTCAAATAGTGTGAGTTCAGAATTAAGAATAAAAAAATCATGTCATTAAAACAAGAATTGAGAATAAAACATGGAAATTGCTTACAAAAATGAATGTTACATTTAAAATATTAGCAAAGGCAAACCAATATTGTGGTCAGTTAACAGTATTTTAATAAAATAAAAATCTATCTCCGTCCCTCAATTTGTAGACACCATTTTTGCCTCCTCCCCCACATTTGTAGGTTAATACTATATTTTAAGGTAGTTTTATTAGTAGTTACCTATGGATGCAAAGAAAATGATGGCAAGAAAGTCACGTATTGGTTCAATACAGGACATAATCTCCTCAGTAACCATGTGACCCTGAGAAGAGATCAGAGCTCCAGCTAAGAAGCATCCCAGCTCCATTGAAACATCCAACAGCTCTGTGATCTGTCAAGGAATAACAGAGAATCTGTTGCTGTTCTCTAACCCCGACTGACTTTATACACCATTTCACAGTGAAATTACAAAACTACATTAAACAATGTAGGAAATTACTATGTCGTTATGCAAGTTCAACAAGTTCAGTGTAATTATTTCAGTTCTATGCAGTATTGTTTTTATACAAAAGATTGACAAACCTTTCATGTTTCCCCTCCATGTTACCTCCTTCCCCACAAAAACAAAAGTAAATTTCTTAATCTACATTGTAATGCTGCGTGTCACTCTTATGGATAGCATCTGATTTCACAAAACCGAGAAAGACTGCAACAGCTTTGGAGTCAGAATTGCGTAATACATGGAGCCCGTAAGAACAGCATATTATCCAGCTGTCAAACAAGGGGGGAAAAATAAAAATCAAAGGCTTATAATTTGGAAGAATAGTCTCAATTTAACAGAAGTCCCAGGCATAAATTACATTTTATTATTGTGAACTGGACTTAAGTGTGCCTGTGTGCTTTACTGAATAGGGATGCATTTAAGCATGTGAAGTAAACTGCTGAAATGAAGCACGGTATCTGTTTGAAAAGACAGCTTCATTCTTTTTTATTATGTGAATAGGGTACTAGAAGGAAGAGATGAAATCCATGCAAAGAGACTGAACTAAAACCAAAGCAACTGCTTAAGGCAATGCTCGGAACGTTAAAATAAGCAAGCAGCACTTTTAGGAGGTATAAAGTATTTAAAGTAATTACTTTGAAACTATGCTGCTGCAGATGGTCATCTTGCTGAGAAAGGGCAATGCTATTAATATTAATAGAAGATTGAAGATTTATTTCCATACTAATTTGGATTAGGCAACAATACACTAGCATATTTATGGACAGCATTCATCACATCTTGAACGGTGTTACACTGTGAGGTATGAAGCTAGAACTTGAATGACTTGAAATTAATGGAGGAGAGCAAAAGACACAATAAACTAGTCTGCAAGCTATGCATAAAATACCACCTAAAAATAAACCCCCAGACTTTTGTGTATTGAAGTATTAATGCCCGAGTGCTTGTCACGTAACTCCATTTGAACTAGTAGTCTATAATTTATTGCAAGACATTTAAGAACACGAATTGGGTTTGTCAACTAATGTACATAGTTGCTGATCAGGCAAAACCAACAAAATTACATTATAACTTTACTCTCATTTAAAAAGAAAAGGAATTTCAGTGCTTTTTGCCACAATTTGAAGTTAAGAGGGAAGAAAAAATACACATTTAAAAGGCTTCAAAATCACCAAGTAGGAAACATTTAAGTTCCTCTCTATCACACATTAGTTGTTTTCAAAGCCACAACCTCTTGAGTATGATTAAGACCCAATATAGCCTCTTCAAATAAAGTTGGTATTATTTTTACTATCCAGCTATTACCCACACACACTTAAGTCATCAGCTGTAACAGAGCTCCAGATCAACACTTTTATAGCTGACATTTTAAGTATTCCCATGTACATGGTTAGGTTACCATATAACAAGGGATTTAGCATCTCTTGTATCAGAACTGCTTGATGCTGTGCTGTTATAAGAATGATTATTCAAGCAGGGAGCAATTTAAGGGTGAAACAAACATGCTTGTTCAGAATGCATTGGACTTAACTGGAGCGAACTGTATGTCCATCTGGATTTGCTCCCACAGAACAGAACCTGAATTTCTATTCCTTCACTCTGTGACAAGTATGAGCTCAAGGGCTTGGTAGATAAAAAGGCAGATTTTGCTATTTCTTGTCTACTCAGTAGGTACTACACAACTTCATGTCTACAAAATCTATAGGTCACTCTAAGAAAAGTGTGAAGTGAATGAGAGGGCAAGAAGAGAACCAAAAATCACATTATCTTCTTAACCCTACCCCTCCTCTTCCAGTTTGTTCTTTTGATTTATATCCAGATTTATACAGACACTCCTTTTACTATTCCCATCCAGTCTCTGGTTGTCTAGTAATAGTAGCAATAAGGTGATACACTTCCTCAATCTGTAGCTTCAGAGTTTATTATAACACGTGGGTGCACACAAAGACACACACACTGGAGAGAGTTTGTTTTACTGGCAGGAAGGCATTCTGAGCAAAATTCCTTAAATAAGCAAAACTTGGGAAGTATTTTGCATTTAGTATTCCCTTTCTGCTTGCATCATTGTTAATGTTTCACTTTCAGCAAACAGGGCTCTAACAATTACTAATCCCTCGGCACTGCACTGTCATTTCCTCAACTCCTACATTACAGAAAGCTTTTTCAGTCAGAATTAAATGAAAAGTCTTGTCAGTTTACACGTTTTTCCCAGTACAATTTAGTTTTCAGTTGTCTTCAAAGGTCCCATTTTACTCTAATTCAGGAAGGATTGTTTTGCTTTCACTAGAATATTGGATTTTTATGTTCAAATGTTCTACCAGAGCAATAAATAAATAAATATCACTGTTATTATCTGTTCCAGATGAATTTCAACCATTTGTTCAGCGTTTTATTTATCTATATTCTCTAATAATGTGTATCTTACTGATACTGTAATCATCATAGAAGATTAATGAACATGGTAAACCAGTAAAATTAAAGAAATCCCTAATGGAAATAAATGTATTAGAATTCCAGGCTTTAATAATCTAAATCTGCCCAAGAGTAAAGAGGTGAATTCTAAGCTTGCGTTTTAAAGAAGTAAAGCCTTAATGAAAATAGAAATAACTTTTAGTGAGCATTCTAAAATCTCCATCTCAACTGTATTTTAATAAATAATTAGCTAGAATATTTGAGATTAAGGAAGAACTGTAATCTTTTAATTGACAGAAAAGAGTTCACAAGCATGTTAAGAGCCATTGAGAAGTATTCTAGGCAAACAAGGAATGACATTCCTAATACACTGCAGGAAAAAGTATGTACATTTTCTTATATAAAGTACTAACAGCTATGTTTTCTTTTAATCTTTTTGGGATATAAAGTAAGCTGGCAATTTCCCTCCATTTGCTGCCATCATCCCAGGTTAACCATAAGGCAGTCAAACTTAGGAAGGTATTTCCTCCCCACCATGTGTATGCACAGTCCTATAAACACGTAAATGTAAGTGCTAACCTTCTTGTCAGGTCAGGTTTTACTTTTTCCCAATTTCTTAATAATCATTCAGCAACATAGTTTTAAAACATAACAAAGCTGGCCCCTGTTGTCATGCAGATATCTAATACAGCAATTCATTAGCAGAACAGTGTTTTAAATAATTCTCTTTGTAATGTTTCTGTACATACAGAACATGGAAAACCAACACTACACCAGTGAACACTCTGGAGGGCTTACAACAAATTCTTCAGCTCATTGTGGTATGAATCTCAACCTAAAAGTACGCATTTGTCCATTGATCCTAAATGGTAATATTTCAAACCGTAAGCTAGATTTGCTCTTTATGTTATGATTCAGAACAGTTCCCCAATTGACACCCCCCCAAAAAAAAACCAAAACAAAAAAACACAAACAAAAACAAAAAACACATTAAAACCCCCACAAAATCAGAAAAAAACACAAACCACCACCAAAAGCCCAACAAAAACACCCCAACCAAAACCAGTATCTCTGTAACTCAAAGTTCAAAAAGGAGTTGCTGCAAGTGTAATAATGATCTACTGAACCTTCGTTTCTGCTGACAATGTGAAACATACGTGACCAAAAGATGTACGACTGTGTCTGAATATCAGCTGCACTTCCGTAGGATTGGCACTTGACACAATCCCCCCACCTGATCTGCCTAACTAGTTGAGGGACAAAAGGGAAGGAAATTTCAGTTACCTCTGAGAATACCTGGGAACAGAAAGAGGTATCTTCAGCTCCAAACCTTGGTAAAATATCTTATATTTGAGATTGGTTGCATCTGGTTTACTCTAAGTTAGTTTATCAAGAAGAGATGTTTTTAAGAACCTGTTTCAGATTTAATGAGTTGTAATATGCCTCTCAGGTTTTCCAAATCAAGCCGCAGAGTCATCTTTGGTTAAGGCCACTAAACTACCCACTTGCTCTACAAATTCAAAAGGTTTTTTAGAATTACACCAGTATGGAAATTCTGTGTTTGCACATAATTATACCAACTCTGTCAATATTTAGGCCTAGGTTTTCCAAGAAGATAGATCTTTGCAGGAACCACGTCAGTTTGTTTTCCTACCTGACACCCAAAAACCTTAATTTATCCTTTAAAAATACATGCAACATTTTTTCAAATAAGATTGCCATCCCTCATCCTATGTTTTTATTCCTGACATAATGCAGCATCTATGCTGTATAACAGTTGAAATTTGTTTTCCAGAAGATTTTTTTGTTCAGCTGTTCTACTGGACAACCAAATACTTTTTTAGTTTTACTTTGGTTTTTTCATTATTTCTCTTGTGAGGCCTCACTTGGAGTATTGTGTACAGTTCTGGTGTCCTCTACATAAAAAGGACATGGAGCTGCTGGAGCAAGTCCAGAGGAGGGCCAAGAGGATGATAAGGGGGCTGGAACACCTCCCGTATGAAGACAGGCTGAGAAAGTTGGGGCTGTTCAGTCTGGAGAAGAGAAGGCTGCATGGAGACCTCTTAGCAGCCTTCCAGTATCTGAAGGGGGCCTACAAGGATGCTGGGGAGGGACTCTTCATTAGGGATTCTAGTGGTAGGACAAGGGGCAATCGGTTCAAACTTAAACAGGGGAAGTTTAGGTTAGATATAAGGAAGAAGTTCTTCACAGTGAGGGTGGCGAGGCACTGGAATAGGTTGCCCAAGGAAGCTGTGAATGCTCCAACCCTGGAGGTGTTCAAGGCCAGATTGGACAAAGCCTTGGGCAACATAGTTTAGTGTGTGGTGTCCCTGCTCATGGCAGGGAGTTGGAACTAGATGATCTTAAGGTCCTTTCCAACCCTAACTATTCTATGATTCTATGATTATTGTTTCTCTTTAAGCCTTTCTGCTCAAACCACAACTGCTAGCATTACTATAATGAATTTATCAGCGTCAGTCAATATCAAGCATCTCAACTGGTTTACTGAGGTTACACACAGTACCTTTTGTACTGTTCCTTTTGATACTTTATCAACTTTAAAAGGAAAGTTGTTTTCACTCTGCGTACACAAAGTATTCATTCCTCCACAAACACTTCCCATGCTGACGCAGCATTCTGGTTTTGCAATACGAATCCAATACACTCAAACATATTCTCCCTCCTTATATATGTTAAAGTCAGTAGACAAACTCCTTGTACATTTGATAGGTGATTTGGGCACAATACATCCAATTCAATCAGATCAGTCTATGTAGTCCACATTTTTAATGAAAGTAAGACTGCTTCTAGATACCATAATATTTTATGCAACTTTTGTGGTTTGGTTGTTGTTTTTTATTCAAGTTGTTATACAAATGTTATGTCTGCTTCTTGAAAGTAAAAACTAGTTTTATTAATTATCTTATTAGATGGCATATTTGGAATATGAATAGCTGTTTAGAGGGATGGCATTTTTAACCTATGCAAAAGAAACCAATGAACTGTAAAGCTCTACTCTCACTAACTTCTTTCTTAACCTTCTCCCTGAAGGAAGTCAGCTTTCTGTGCTAGACCTGTGCAAATACCACTATGGGGAACAAAAAATAAATTTAAAAAAAATATATATATATAAAAAAAAATAAAAAGCATGCACAGGAACATTTTTCTCAGAATTCTCAGAGGTCATAACAATCTGCACATCTAGGATAATGGATTTTCAAACCCACAACATTAGTGACTGTCACATTCTGTTCTCCAGCAAAATGGTTTTTCAGAGGGCTGAAATACAAGATAGAAACACACAGAAAATTCAGTTGAAAATTAATGAAACCCAAAAGGGATATCAGAATCTGTGAACCTTAAGGCATTTCTCTACTTTCTCAACTTCATTCCAAACTGTTATTCTCCCACAGAAAATTATAATAAAAACTACATTGAAAATATGCTGTTTAAAAGACACGTGTCACAATCAGCCACTATCACTATCTCAAAAACCATCCTAAATTATTTTCAAAACACATGAAGTAGCCAAAATTCAAACTGGAATCACAATTCTTTAATTGGCTTAAGTTGCCGGCAGAAGTTCATCTGATTGACATTCAAATTTTATTTCTTACTCATCTGTGCTGTAATGCATGAATCATCTGTGCATTTGGGCTTCGTTTTAAAACATTTTAAAACCAAATAATTAACTACAGAGGTACAGGGATACACAACAACAATAATTGTGATGGCTTTTGTGATACTGCTGCAGTCAGCTACTGCATACATCAAAATGTTTTATTAATTTAAGAGATTACCGTTAACATAAGGAAGATGAATGCAGTTATTCCTAGGATGAGGATTTCTTTATTCCCTTTGCTTTCTGCATGCAACTTGCGATAATATGGTCCTATGAGGTAAGTCTTTATAACAAGACATATAAGAAAAACAGCAGCCAGAGTAAAGAGAATTTGGCCAATCAGTATCAGTATTCTCAGTATTTCCTTGAAAATGCTGGAAGAGAAGAACAAACAAAACATTTCTTTCAAGTGCTTTCATGCCTCCCAACCAGTTCCCCTTAAGTGAAAAGATCTAATTCCAAAGATGTTCAAAACTGAGTAGGTACAGCAAGATATTCAGATACATTAATAAACCAGATGATTACTAAATCTGCCAAGTGCCCAGCAATCTCTATTACAGCCTAGAATTTACTTCAGTAAGATTTTTGTTGATTGATCATAAAGGTAAGCTATCAGGCTCAATAATACTATTGCATAGTCTTTGACAAAAATATGCCCTGAGGGAATAAAGTAACTGAATAAATTACTTTTTATAATAACAAACTCTTCACTAAAAATTTTAAGTACTGGACAGGACTAAGGCAGCTAGAGGAGAAAGAATATCCTCATGTAACAGGACAAGTACAAACAGTAAAGGGAACTCGTAGAAGAGAGTGAGTATTTTTCATGAAACTGACATTAACTGTAGCACTCATTCATATTGGCAATCTACGTACTAACTGGAAGGGAGGGTGGGGTGGGGAGATACATACAGTATTTTCTTGTTTTACCTGGAATATGTGCTCACTCCTACTTGAATAAGTGTAGGCATGACAGCTATAAATAAACCAAGCTGCACATCCTGCATCACCAACATGCCAAGTAGTACGCTGCTGTAGTCAATATCCCCTGTACACCAGCAAAGCAGTCATGGAAATAGTTATCAGAACCTATGAATGGTTGCAGTGCTCAGAAACTTAGAAATACCTAAATCAAATGGAGGCTAAGTGTAGTTCTCAATGGGTTGATGTCATTCAAAGCACTCTGTTTGGCTTTCCCCCCACACACATTAGTAAGTAATTTAAAACATTCAGAAAGAAAATATTTGTAAAGACATTAAAATATAATAAAGAATAATGAAATATAATATATTTGTGGGAAATTTATGTTACACAGTAAAAATATAGACTTTGCTTAGCAGTTGAGCACTAGTTATGCATTCACTGGAGCTCCTTTAGTGAAAATACACAATCTTTAGACTAACAGACACACGTAAAAGCCAGCATGTATAAAGGATACACTTTGAGTCTAGGCATTAGAATATAAATATTCTAAGAGGTGGGAAGAATTTTAATGCAGTATCTATTAGGGAGGTTTACATGGAAGAAAGCAGGATGGCAAAACTTCTGAAAGGAAACAATTTGAAGTCTTTGAGAAGCTAGCAATATAGCACTAGAAGGTACTTCTCTGAAGAGCTGTTTGCTGTGAAAGACTCCCTGCACTGGTCTTAGTTTGCTGAAGAAGGGTGTGAATTATTTCAGTTAGCCTTTCTGCCCTGATGACAGAAAGGTGCAGTGGTCTAACCAGCAATGGTCTAACCTGGTAAGCTCTTAAAAAGCAGAAGGAATCCAGACCCTTAATCAAGTCAAATCTTAACATGGAGAGTACTGATTGGGCTACACTATCTTTCTCCAAAGAGGACACCTCATAAAAAGAATATACACAACACTAGCCAGTGTTAAAGGATGACAATCACTTGTAAACCAGACCTAACAGTGGTTTTTGTCTTGTTTCATTTTTTAACCAGTTCCTCTCATATTAGAAAGTCAACTTCTTTCAAATTTTATTGTAGATACTAGAACAGTCCATATTTAAAATTATACCCACCTTCTTTATCACCTCGAACACTACCTGCAAGAAATCTTGACACCAATGGCGTGCTTGATAAAGATAAACAAGTGGAAATGAAGACACTTTGTGTTGGTCTAATTTGTAGCAGGTGTCCCCACAGCAGACCAAAGGCAATCATCAGAACCGTCATATAGCAAGGTCCTTGCAAAGATATTTTCCATACCTTGGGAAGAAAACAAGTTCTTATAAGAAAGTCTGATGACACTTTTCTCACTGATAAGTTAAAGTGACTTTCAGCACAATTAAGCAGTGATTTGGGGCTGCAGTGCTGGGCCACAGAAGTAACAGGCTGTCATCCAATCTATGGGGCATAATAACTAATAACTGAAGTTATTATGCCTCATAGACACTCCAATGAACCAGAAGATTCATTACCAGAAATCAGATAAATTTCTCAGAGGTCACGGACAAATTAAGGGCCAAAGGTCCAGTATAAGAAATCACCAAATGGAAAGCCAGCTACTTGATGTGAATGGGAAAAAATGGGAATGGCAAAGACCATCAACAGTACCAGCAGCCCACTCCACACTATTCCCAAGTAGCAATTTACACACTAAAGTTCAGGAACCCTCAAATTACTGATTTTTATCATTGGCTTTTTATCATTGATTTTTTATCATTGAGCCGGGGAACTACAGACCAGTCAGTCTCACCTCTGTGCCCGGCAAAATCTTGGAGCAGATTCTCCTGGAAAGAATGCTGAGGCACATGAAAAACAGTGAGGTGGTTGGTGACAGCCAGCATGGTTTCACTAAGGGGAAATCCTGCCTGACCAATTTGGTGGCCTTCAGTGATGGGGCTACAGAACTGATGGACAGTGGCAGAGCAGTTGACATCATCTACCTGGACTTGTGCAAAGCGTTCGACACTGTCCCGGCACAACATCCTTGTCTCTAAATTGGAGAGACACCAATTTGATGGATGGACCACTCAGTGGATAAAGAACTGGCTGGATGGCTGCACACAAAGAGTTGTGGTCAATGGTTCAATGTCCACTTGGAGACCAGTAACGAGTGGTGTCCCTCAGGGATCGGTGTTGGGACCTGTGTTGTT